TTCCCCACCTAGTTTCTCAATGGTCCAGCCCTCATTTTGTGACCCCTTTCAACCCTTAACCCTCAAGAACTTCATCCCTAAACCCTAAACCCTAAACCCTAAACCCCAAACCCCAAACCCCAAACCCCAAACCCTAAACCCTAAACCCTAAACCCTCAAGAACTTCATCCTCGGAGATGAGTCTGCGGAGCCCTTGCAAGCCCTTCACTCGAATCCCTGGTGCGACCCCTGAGGCTCCATAAAAAACCTCTCTACAAAGCGCACGATGACGTGCTGAACCCCCTGAAGCCCTTGGAAACCGCCTCAGAAGCCCAAGTCCCCCCCAAAACCCGGGGTAAAACCCAGTGAAACCCTTGACGCCCAGACATTTGCTAAGACTCTCTTCCATTCGAGAACCTATGTGCCGAGAATATCCTAACCCCTGCACCCCAAACCCCAAACCCTAAACCCCAAACCCTAAACCCTAAACCCTAAACCCCAAACCCCTAAACCCTAAACCCTAAACCCTAAACCCTAAACCCTAAACCCTAAACCCTAAACCCTAAACCCTAAACCCTAAACCCTAAACCCTAAACCCTGTTCAATTCAAGAACCTATGTACCGAGAATATATCAGCAGCTTGCCCTGGACCAGGACCCGGCCGAGCAATGGGCCCACCGGGTGGCAAGGAGGGGTTTAGGGTTTAGGGTTGAGGGTTGAGGGTTGAGGGTCGAGGGTTGAGGGTTGAGGGTTGAGGGTTGAGGGTTGCGGGGCTTTCCCCCTTAAGCCCTCACCTTAGGACGCAGTGGCCAGGCAGTGGGCCCGCAAGAGTCAGGTCAGCAGTATGCCCCGCAAATTATATTTTTATCCGTAGGCACACCTGAGTTGGTAGTTCGAAACCCCATGTGGGGCTAAGGGCCTAGGGACATGGGCTTAGGGGTTTCGGGTCGAGGGTTTAGGGTTTGGGGTTTGGGGATTAGGGGTGCTATTGTCAAAAAAGCAGCGACCCTTGACGCAGCGCATGGCGTTAGTGGGCCGAAAAAGACCCCAGCCCGCCAAATAGCCCTGATCCCTAAAGCCAAGATTAAAGCCTAAACCTACATGATGAGTTCTCGATTTCTGGCCCTTTTTTGGGTACCCTGAATATTTAGCGGCCGCCTCATAATCGTACCCCTAAAAGGGACCAGAAATTGCAGAATCCCCCCACATCCTGTAGACACCCAAGGTGCACGCGCTGTACTTTGCCGGGGAGCTCAGTCGGATTATTCGCGGGAGCACACTTGAGCTTGGGGGCGTTTTGGAGATTTTTTCGGCCGGGTTTTAGGGCGTTGGGTTCATGTAAGTCCTCCAAGCCCTAATCCCTAAACCCTCAGCGCTAATTAGACCTTCAACCCTACACCCTGCAATGGGTTGAAGCGACTCTGCAACCTGGTAGACTCATAGGGTGAGTTTCTGTTGCATAGCGCACTCCGAGAACTACACATTCCAAACCTGCAGACCTTGATCCCTGAACCCTACACCCCCTAAACCCAAATTTGTCCTGACCTACGTCAGATAGCGCCTAAACCCCAAATCCCAAACCAAACCCCAATCCCCAAACCCTAAACCCCTAAACCCCTAAACCCCTAAACCCCTAAACCCCTAAACCCCTAAACCCCTAAACCCCTAAACCCCTAAACCCCTAAACCCCTAACCCCCTCAACCCCTAAACCCCTAAACCCCTAAACCCCTAAACCCCTAAACCCCTAAACCCCTAAACCCCTAAACCCCTAAACCCCTAAACCCCTAACCCCCCTAAACCCCTAACCCCCCTAAACCCCTAAACCCCTAAACCCCTAAACCCCTAAACCCCTAAACCCCTGAACCCCTA